CGATCTATCTAACGATTCAGTGTTCAAAATTCACTGCACTCGTTAATCAATTAAAAAGATTAAATTTTTTATGTGTTGAACTACAAGCGACATATGAAACTGTTTTTCTCGCTTATTCAAGATTAAACTTTTATGTCTGCTGAGCAATGTATCCGTCGTGTACGGGGCTCAATGCTCCAAGCAAATGAAAACAAAGTTTCCTACATTTGTATTTGATTTGATTGTCTCTTCAATTGCTCTCTGGATAATGTTTTACGCACTAGCCACAAGAAGAGGTGGCTTACCTGTTCAACTGATTTTAATAACTTTGAGCGAATGAATTGATATCTGTTAGTGATAAAGGCTAAATCGTGCAGATACAGTATCCTATTCAACGCGACGATGACAAATTCTGAATAGAGGACACACTAGGTCTTGCGTTAGTTTGTTAAATTAATACATCTAAATTATGAAAGGTTTATTTAAATAGTCTATTGCAGTTGAAAGTAGCTTGAATTTGCTCACCGTCCCCCAGTACGGAAGCCCCAAGGACATGGACGAACCGTCAATCCAGCGCCATTGCCCCTCCAGCACTTCGTCAGAGGCGCCAATCCAGTATCCGAGAGGGTCGTGACCTAATAGTAAGACATTAAATTAAAACCTTTACTATATCAAATCAAAGCATGCATTACATCAAAGAAAACAAATTATAAATCAGCCTTGTTGGCCAACAGCTCTAACTTTGCTAGAATAGGTTAGCTTTTACGCATGACCCAAATATCTCGGTATTCTTGTGATAGATTAAAGTTGGTTGCTGAAAGAGCATTAAAATTCACAGGGATGCTAGCGTAATTTGAAAGAGTTATTTCAAAACTTGTGAGTTTTCAGTTTATAAAACAGAAGATACGATTTCTACCAATGGAAACGGCTGAAATATTTTAGAATATTCATATGTGTTTAAACAGGGATTGCTCATCCCAAATTTGAACACGATTGTCGCGGCAGTTGCTCCCTTGGCTTTAGTCCACCTAACATAATGAATGCGCCAATGACGCTACTGATTTTTAAATATCTATCCAATGCTGCTTTAATCTGCATTTATTCCTAAATAAGAAAAATCCATGGCAGAACCCAAAAACGCAATATATTGATGGTTTCGTGGAAACTTCATCTATAATAACAATGTCCAGTCTTGAGCAAACGTTTCATATATCCTGTTAGTGCGACGACTTTGACTTATAATTATACATAGTATTACTACTTCGTGACTGCTGAGGTAGCGCTACCTTGTATGGTATTTCCCAGAAGTAGTGTACATAAGTGCATGATAGTTAATCCTCGAAGACAGCACAGAAGTGCATGATGTCGCGGACTAGAGCTTTCACAAGTTTTCTACTTGGTCAAGTGTCTTCGGAATGTGAGAAAACATGTAATTTGTGGGAAAACAGGGTGGCTCAGTGGTTACAGTTCTGAGTACCAGTATCAGAGAAGAGAGGTGCGGGTTCGATCTCAGCTCTGTGAGAAAAAGCAGCGCAATGTAATCTCAAACCATGTATAGGGGTTACCTTGCTCATCGAGGTACAGGTACACACCAAAATGTCTTTCGCCGGCTGTGGCTGCAGGCGAACGAATGCTGCTGAGCTCCGTTTACAACTTACTCTAGTGCAAACATCTGACACCCTTGTGTCTGAAAACTGCGTCGCAAATCTTCATAAGCTAGTTATTTCGACTTAGATGACTACGCTTTGAGGATCCAGTGACGTTGAAGGCGGTGTTATTTAATCTGACAGTCACGACCGGTGTCTACTGTACCGATACTGATCTGCCATCTTGGTTAATTATTCGTCAATCTTAGCCTGATCAGCCCCGTGTTTAAAATGACGACGTGAATGTTTACGAGCAATTTCTTCTGGACATAGAAGACTTCACTTTACGATATTCTGACGTTGAATTTTATCCCTTTAAATTTGACCGAGGCGACCGTTACTGTCCCGATACCGACCGCCATCTTGGTTAGTTCGGCCATCTTCGCTTGTTCGGCCATCTTTGTTTGTTCTATCATCTCAGTTTGTTCGGCCATCATTGTTTGTTCTGCTATGGCTGATCGGCCATCTTGGCTTGATTTGAAAAGTGTTTGAATGGAATGTTAATTACGGCTGCTCACGTAGCTTGCTTTGCGCAAACGACGTCGATGTAAGGGTGTTTTTTGACAGGGGCCTAGATATATATTGTGGTTTTTCTTGTTTCGGCGTTCACTATATTCAGCTTCGAGCTGACTATAGACGAGCTGACTATAGACGAGCTGACTATAGACGAGCTGACAGTGCCTTAAATCCGACGGTACTGTCCTGACATTACGCAAAAACCGTAGCTGTCTAGAGACTACTGGAGTGGGCTTGTTGCCGGACCGTTTTTTCTGTTCTTGCCACACGTTCAGCTTGCTTGACGCAAACTACGTCGACGTGTGTTTTTGACTGGCAGGACCAGATTGTGAGTATTCGTTTTAGCGTCGGTTATACTCAGCTTTAATCTGATTGTAGGTGAGCGTCACTTATATCACTTATATGACCCAAGCTGAATCTAGCGACTATCCATGGCGCCGTAAGGTAGTCGAGCGAGCGCGGCCCCACATGCAACCCGACACATTGGCAACGACGAATTACGGTGGAGTAGCTACCGTCGCCAGTGGGGGCGTGCACCTTACCGTTCTTGACATCGGCACATGACCCACCACTTTTGAGCTGCTATGTGCTAGGGTCACCTATGCCTCGTTTACGGGCGCTGCGGCCCTTCACATTGCGGCACTAGACTCGACCTGTCGGCCGAGTTTGACACGGACGACCACGCTACTTTATTGCGTCGACTTGATGTATCATTCGGCCTGCGCAGCAGAGTGCTGCTGTGTTTCGAGTCCTATCTCAGCAATAGATTCCAATGCATTTGACGCGGGAACTCTTCTTCTCCGCCATCGTTGGTCACTTGCAGCGTACCACAGGGATCAGTTCTCGGCCCGATCCTTTTCCTATTATATACTGTCGACGTATTGCATATAATCAATTTACATAGTTTGAATCCGCATAGGTTCGCCGATGACACCACAATTTGCGGTTACGATGCACCTGCTGACACCGCAGCGTTGCAGGATAGTATGTCTGCCTGCATGAACGCTGTCTTAGACTTGATGCGCTCCAACCGGCTCCAGCTCAATGCATCAAAAACCGACTTTATTTGGTTTGCGACTGCTCGGCGTCAGCATCAGCTTCCGGCCAACCCTATTCGCGTGGGCAACGAGTTCGTCATGCCTGCATCCGCAGTTCGCAACCTGGGCACTTTCAATGAACAGTCACATTGCCAAAGTCACCACCGCTTGCTTTGGCGCTCTGCGACGAGTAGCAGACGTTTCGAGGCCGGTTCTTGAGGCCCATGTGATGGCGCTCGTTCTGACCAGATTAGACTATGGTAATGCCCCACTTTATGAACTTCCGTCCACGACACTTATAGACTGCACTCCGTAATGAACGCTGCTGCTTGACTCGTGTACACTAAGCAAAAATTCTACCATGTGACGCCGGTATTGCGCGATCTACACTGGCTGTGCATTCATCAGCGCACACAGTTCAGGGTCGCTGTCCTGACGTTCCGATGCCTTCACGGTCTGGCGCCTCCTTATCTCACAGAATGTCTGCAGCGCGTGTAGGATCTGCCTTCTGGGAGACGATTACGCTCATTATTAACAGCGGACCGAGTCGTACCATCTACACGTCTGTCTACCGTCGGCGACAGAGCGATCCCGGTCGCCGCTGCCTGAACCATGAATAGTTTCACGGCTTCCGTAACTTCGGCTCCTTAGTTGCAGGTGTTTCGTTGACGCCTAAAGACGGAATTATTTCGTAGAGCCTATGAATCTAGTGCTTAGCCATTTATCCGATCCCATCCTTTCTTGCGACTATTTACTTTTCGCTTGCTAATTATCTTATATGTGACGTGCCCTTGAAGTTCGTTTAAACCAGACGCCACGATAAATGCTTTGTAGAATAATAATAAATGATTTTAAAGCATGTGGGTAGTTACTTTGCTCGTCGAGATAGAGGTTCACGGCGAATTGATCTCCAACCATGTTGGTGGTTACCGTGCTCACCGAGGTACAGGTACACACCAAAATGATCTCAAGCCATGTGTGTGGGTAGTTACTTTGCTCGTCGAGGTAGAGTACACAGCGAAGTGATCTCAAACCATGTGGGTACTTTATTTACCTTGTTCTTCGAAGTAGAGGTGCACAGCGAAGGGATCTCAAACCATGAGGGCAGTTACCTTGCTCGTCGAGGTAAAGGTACACACAAATGGTCACAAATCATGTGGGTAGTTACTTTGCTCGTCGAGGTAGAGGTACACTCTGTGGTATTGGTCGCAGTCCTTCAGGGTGATTAAATCTCCACCGATCAGCGCGCACTGAGAACGCGCATCCAGCCAGTGGTAAACGGACGGAATGATGTGTACGCATTGCGTGCCCACCAACACGTAGGGATTATCGCAGATACCTGCACGATAAGCAAATATTGTAGAAAATAGTAAAGTTTCAAGGTTCTCATTACAATTTAACTTTAAAATTCCGTGGAGTTTGTTAATAGACTAAGCTATAGAACTAGCCTTTAAAGTATGATTTTCGAGCTATCATAAATTTCAGTACTGCTAGTATATATTTGAAGTACAGTAATTGCCTGGCGATTTTGAGGTATTAGGGTCGTGCGGTTTCGGGATTCTCTTTGAATGGAACTTCAAGTCACTCGGCTAACTATCTTCAGAGCTTTTCCTCCAGCACCTCACCCCGTGAACAGCTGCTCTCCTGTGACTGTCGGTTTTTTGTCAGTGTATCGTAAGACGATAGGACCAGAGTTCGGGTACTTCTTAATTATCGCATGTGGATGGGAGTCATGAGGTGCTAAGCTCTCCACGTCCGCATGATCTCTAGAGCCCAGTTGGATCACACACCGGCTTCAGCCGATTGCACCAGCTTCAACCTTTCATGAAACGTAAGTCCTCGGTAGTCGGTACCACTGAGCCGTGCGGGTGAGTGCCAGACAGTTTCAGAGGCTGACATATCTATACTCTGACCTCAAACTAGAATGAAGGTGTTGCCCCTTCTCAATTGAAATAATTATACCTGTCTCTTATACACATCTAGATGTGTATAAGAGACAGGCAATAACACGGACAGTGTTGCAGTGTCTGCAGTAACACAGACAGTGTATGCAATAACACAGACAGTGTTGCAGTGTCTGCAATAA